ATATATATACAGATTGTAAAGGGATTTTTGATACCTAATGTAAGATTTGTTAATACTTATATGATAAAAGATATTAGGATGCCTACAACATAGATCTCTTGTGTTTTTTTAGAGTTCATGAATATATACAACCGTCACCTGAATTTTAAAAATACAGACCATTCCTATTCTATTAATTAAATCAAGTTTCGCAGAAGGAAAGGCAAAGCTATTTGATTATTCAATTTGTATCCTTATAAACCTTTTAACACCAAGAAGTAACAGCAGAGAAATATTTAACTTCTTCCCTCCTTATTTCAACAGTGACTTACCGCAATCTCAAAATATTAAGTCTATAAACACTGAACATCAAAGGAGACAAATTCTACATTGTTAATTCTCTTTGGCATTCCAGGGTCACCTAAGCAAGCTAGCAAATGAAGGAGAGAAAATTGGATGCTGTGAATGAAACTGGTAAAAGGATAGTTCAAATCAAGGTATGGACTCAGGGCGATTCCTTTGTGGCCATGATTATTACGTGATTAGAGAAAGCCATGATTTTCCCTTAATCCCTCGTTGATTTTATTTAACCGGATCAATGAAAGGAGAAACCACTCAAATTCCAAAGAAGACTGTACTCTGGAACATTTTGGCAATTCATAATGTTTCATACAAAATAATGAAGTCACAATGGCAACTTGACCATGCAAGAAAGTGTACTGCCTCTCAATCACGGCTCGGAATGCTGGCTTGCCACAGACTTTTTTAAGTTATCAATCTTTGTCACAAAATAGTTAAATGTGTTTATTTTTTAAATGTTTTTGTTTAGTGATGCAAGATTTCCCAAATCTGCAAAACACATGGAATAGGTTCAAAGAAAACACCCGTTTTCCTTGGTTTGGTGAGAGCTGTGTGTAATGGCGTGTTGATTACATACACATGTATTCTTTTATAGTTTATAGCTGCTATTGCTATTGTTAAGTGCCATCAAGTCGGTTTCTATTCACAATGACCCTGTATAGGGTTTCCAAGGAGTGGCTGGTAGGTTTGAACCACTGACCCAATGGCTAGCAGTCCACTGCTTACACTACAGTGCCATATCAGGACTCAACAGCTTAGATGAGAGGCCAGTTCTTTAATCCAGTAACTCCAAGTCAAGTAATGTCTACAGGTTCTAGTAAATGCCACAGGCTAGACAAAGGCAGACAAAGGAGAAGGAGAGGGAAAATGAGGTAAGAGCAAGAAATTAAAAAAGAAACGGAGAACCAAGCACCAAAGAATGAAGGGTGAGCTGTATTAGGAAGCAATGAAGTGCCACTCTTCAGAGTCTGCACTGGTATTATACTCAATTTATATAACTAAGGCTCCAAATCTCCCTTCTTTATATTCTAGATGTTGCTTAACACACTCTACCTTAATCTTTAATTCAACTTTGTCACACAAAATCACCCAGATTTTAAATCGAATTGGAAAATAAATCAAATATACACAACAAAAAGTAGACTTGAGCTTCAATTAATGGAACTTTAACAGAAACCTGGCCAGAGGGATCTCTCCTTATAAAAGAATAAACCAATACAGAGAACAGTCTATTGGAGACAACTATTCATCCCTTTCCCTATTTTGTAAAGCAGAGTGAATAAACACAAAACACATCCACAAGAATTCTTATCAGTCAATAATCTATATTCCTTTCCATTACAGACAGGGTCACTTATGTGTCTCAAACCTGAATAAAATACAGGTTAACAATTTAAATTCAATCATGACAATAAAATACTTTCTACTTTCCAAGTTTGATGGTAATAAATATTTACATTTTTAAAAATTATTTTTGTTCATTTTTTTGTTTTTTAAAAAGACACAGCATGCTCAAGGTACATAGAATATGGGAAAGAAAACATCACTTCATCCAAAAGATCAAACGGTGGTATAAAACAATGTTCTTACATATCAATCTAATACAAGAATGGTATCAGAGTAACTACCATGTTTGTTTCAAAGATGATATTGAAATGCTATTTAAAACACTATACCTAACGTAACTATCAAGGAGTATGCACTGCTACCTAATTTCTGTAGTTTTTAGTATCTTCTATATCCACCACCTCCTCCTCCTCCATAAGGATCTCCATAACCTCTGCCACCATAGCCCCCTCTCCCACCATAGCCGCCCCCCCTGCCACCATAATCTCCTCTCCCACCATAATCTCCCCTGCCTTGAAAACCCCCTCCTCTGCCTCCACCTCCTCCTCCCCAACCTCCTCCACCTCCTCCTCCCCCACC